AACTGCTGCTGCTGCCACTGTTATAAAGACAGTTCTGTACACCCTAAATGTTACATAAAAAAGCACAACAGAGTAATAAAACCCCCCACTTGTTAAAAAAGCCATTAATGGTTCATTATTATGCATCACTGTTTCCACAGTCTCTGGAAAAGTATCCTCTGTGTTTACAACTCAGATAGCCACCTAAGCAAAGATGCAGTAGGTTGCAAAAACCAACAGAGTCCTCTAGCGGCTACTAAAATTTTGGCAAAAAATTCTCATTAGTTATTTTAGGGGTTTTATTTCATTTGAAAACAATGGCAGCAGTGGGTGAGAGACAGGGACTTCTGCCTTCTTGAAAAACATACACAAAGTGGCAAAGCTACATATTAAATCTTACCTAAAATTATTTTTTTTTTCTTCTTACTTTTATATATTGTACAGAAAATGTAATGTTTTTAAAAACAGGTTAATCTTAGGGTGCATGTTGATAGCTTCAATCAAGTTTCATGCTGTTCTAAGATGCAATAATTACATGAATGCACATAACACTCTTTCATACCAGCTATTTCATACAATGTCATTTCTGATTTTCAACATGCTATTGGGAAATCTGTTTTCCAGCCTGCATTACCCTCCAGGGTACTGTTTAGAAGCATGTAAATGCTACCAGAATATAAAGTTAAAAAAAAAGGAAACTGAAAATAGATTTGAGAGTTTACTCTCATATTTTTCTACGAGATCATGATCCACATACTTGAAATGATCACAACTGTAACCTTACACTGAGTTTTAAAACTCAATTATTATCTATCATACTTAGACTTATTTGTTTATGGAGATATCTAAACACAGGCATAAAGCATATAGCAAATAAACCAATAACAAAATAAACGAAGTCCACATACCAGTGACTACAAAAGCAACCCCTTCAAGGGGTATCTTTCACTAAGCAACAGAATGTAATTCTCAAACCCCAGCATTTTATACATATAAATTAATATATTTTATAGTTTTTACTTATTTATATATATATATATATATATATATGTGTAGGTATACATGAAGGTTTATATACTACATAATATAAATCATAATTTATAGTCCTTACACTGTATCTGAATTACTATTTAATTCATTTGAGCCTTTAGCAGTAGGAATAGGTAAGCTGCTCTGCCAAAGGCACGTGGGAACAAAGCAGCACCACTAATGAGAGCAGAATTACATGGAAATAAACAGTGGGGACTGATTGTGTGTTCAGTGTTTTTTAAACATGAAGATGACATTGAACCCCTAGAGAATAATCAGCTCTCCAATACTGACACATATATCTCATTTCCTCCAGCCTCAAAGAAAACCTGTTGAAACCCTGCAATTCTCCTCTACACACCTGCATCTTCTCAGCCCAGCACAAATAAATAAATAAATGGATTCAGACACCTCTAAAGATTTGGTACTGTGCATTCTCAGCATGTCTTTCATAAGGCTGCATATTATACTCAATTTGACTTTCTGTCTGTGGGAAAGCCCAAGACAAGATACGGGAACCACAGGTACAAAGTAACCCAAAAGGACAAACAAGTTTGGGTTTAGTTTTCTTTTCAAAGCATGTAATCTCCAAGCTTTAAAGAGAAAAAGATCATATCCCCTCTCAGCCAAATCCTCCACAACTCCCTTCCACTAGTAATTGTTTTTAAAGGCATATGCATCTTGAAGCATCTTGTAATGCAAATAAAGGATCTTTCCTGAGGGGAATCAACTTGCCTATTCAACATATTTATTATTTTGGATGTTGAACATAGATGCAAAATACCCAAAGCATCAACCTAATTCTGCATGATATAAAATACAAAAACTTTCTTATCTAGAGAGAAATTCCCCTCATTGTAGCTAGTATGGATTAACCTGTTCTCAAGTGGTTTTATGTATTTTTTCATAATAATTTTAAGAGTTTCCATTTAAATAATATGAAAAAACACCAAAAAAAGTCCACCCGCCACCACTACCAGGCTAAGCTATCCCACTGCTTTATGCAGTAGTGATCACAACCCTTTCTAAAAACAACTTCAGCTGAAGCACTTCACTGAGGACATCACAAATGCTTAATAACTCATTCTCACTTTAAAGCCTACTGAAGAGGACAGAGATAATAACAACTGGTTTCTATGGGAAAAAAAAAAAATTGGAAAAGAATACCTAGAAAGCCATAAGCAAGAAAGCTGCTACCAAACCATGGCTCAGAAAACGTTACATCTAGTGTGGGGTGATTTGTAAAGCCAACTCACTTTTATATATTTGATTCTTTCATTAAAAGCCTGACCATACAGTTACTGAAAGTAGCTTCCAAAAAAACCACTTCCACTGCTCCAAAACCTTAAAATCGGGAACCACTATGTCGCAACATAAATAGACGGGAAGATCTGTTTACTGATCTACTTGCACTGATGATGAGAACAACTGAGTGGCCATTCAGCACCAAAAGCGAAATCGAAAGATTCATATGGAAACTTAGCAGAATTGTTAAAGCTTGTATCACAAGTATATTAAAAAAATCATAATGCCTTTCTGGTTTCTTTTCTCTCTGGCGTAATTAATTTTTTAAATTGAACTTTAGTAGACCAAACAACAGAGAAAACAGTTGCCCTGCCTATCTGCATAGATTTGCTCTAGAACACCACTGCTGCTCATTGTCTTTGCCTTGTCTCCTTTCTGGACTCAGAATGGAGTAAGCAAGGCAGAACAGCACCACTTTGTAGTTTGCTGGATACTTTTTTTAAAGTTTCAAGTGCATATGAAAATGAAAACACATAAGACAACCTCAAAGGAAGGATTACCCATGGAACTATCACAATGTAGCCTATCACCAGCCCTTCCCCAAATGTTCTATTTGTGCAGCTAGCAGTAGCCCTAGTCTTGAAGAATTCCAAAAGAAAATATTAATGGATTTGAGAAAAAAAGAACAAGCAACAGGGTCAGCCCTGAGCATCTCAAGACTTTCCTAAACATGAAGAACAAGAGTTCACAAACAGTAATTCTACAATAAGCACAAATTTCCACACAGGATATAACTTGGTACGCACTCATCAGCTCAACTAATACCTTCCACCTTTGTTACCTAAGTATGAGGCTGCAGTTTGTTTAGAAAGTCATCTGCATGACTCAGACTGGTCAAAGGAGTAAAAACTTAGGTTCTCTTTATAGTTTAAGGGACACTACCAGGTATTTGACCATAATCTTGGAATATTCACCTTGTGAAAATGGAGACATACAAGTTATTGGCATGCTATTCGCTAGGCAAGTTCAGCTACAGTAATTTATCTGCAGTTTTTTAACAAAAACATCTGATGCAAGCATATGGTATATCAGTTATATTGTATTTTCAAGGGGTGTACAGGATCATAATATAGCTATTACAAGACAAAACACAAGATTTTTACTTAAAAGGGAGTGAAAACATGCACACAGATGCTTAAATACATTGAGACCAGTGATCTTTCTCGACTTTAAAATGATTGCTCATAGCCTTTAAAGACCTCTTAGGGTAAACTTTGGCAATTACAAAATACAGCTTGTACCTACCTTTTTAAAACTACTGTAACTTTCTTCTTCAGGGTTACAGATTAAATGTTATCCCAACCACCAACTCACCCAGTTTTCCCATGCACACCAGAACACTGACAGATTATTATTAATTCAAAGACTGCAAGACAACATAAGCAGGCGAACCCTCGAGCCTGCCACCACCTATTAACCCAACTTACACTTTGAGCCCTGGAGAGTCCTCAGTGTAGAACCGCCACATCCCACCAGTCCCTGTGGACGTGGCACGGCCTGCACTCCTTGTCCCACAGCTGGCATTTTTCCTTAAGGGATGACAGAAGGAAACAAAGACCAAACAACATGTTAGTACTCCACCAGCTTCTAGGACCAAGCAGCCCAGGAGACTGCAGAAACAATACACTTCACAGAATCAATTGGGTTGGGAAAGACCTCTAAGATCATCAAGTCTGACCTATGACCCAAAACCGCCATGTCAACTAGACAATGGCACCAAGTGCCATATTCAATTTTTCTTTAACTATCTACGGGGGCAGTGACTCCGCCAACTTCATTGGCAGCCCATTCCAGTGTGTAATCGCCCCTTCCTGTTGATGTCCAAGCTAAACATCCCCTGACGCAGCTTAAGCCTTGTGCGCCCCTATCCTGCCACTAGTTGCCTGGGAGAAGACACAGACCCTCACCTGGCTACACCCTCCTTTCAGGTGGTTGCAGAGAACTATAAGGTTCCCCCCTGAGCCTCCTTTTCTCCGGGCTAAACACCCCCAGCTCCCTCAGCCGCTCCCCACAGCCCTTGCACTGCAGACCCCTCCCCAGCAGCGTTGTCCTTCTCTGGCCTGGCATCAGCCCGTGCTGCCACATCGGCAGAGGGCACCAGCCCGGGAGCCCGGCAAGCAGAGCAAGACGGGGGCAAGCGCTGTCCCCCGGGGAGCCGCGGCGGGCACCCACCTCTGCCGGACGGTGGATCCCGCGGCGCGGGGAGCCACAGCCTTGCTGGGGGAGCGCCCGGAGGAGCCGACGCTGGTGGCGCTGGGGTTGGGCCCGGGCTGCGGAGAGAGGAGAGAAGCGGGAGAGGGTGAGAGGCGGCGGGCACCGCCGGCGGGTTAGGGGCGCCTCAGCCGGCCTCGGGCAGCCTCTCACCATGGCGGCGGCGCTGGCTCAGGCTCGGTGCGGTCTCACACACGCTCCGCTGCAGCCGCTCCGGCCACGTCCCTGCCCGCATCAGGCTCCGCCCCGCGCCGCGCATCCCGGGGCCACGAGGCTTCCCCGGATAATGCCTGAGCAGCACCAGCCCCTTATCGCCGTACCCCTCGCTCGGCGGCCGCTTTCCGAGCCCGCTGCCCCCCGTGACGCCTCGGTCGGTCCCGCTCCTTGCGCAGCGGCCGGGCCGGCGCGGGACCGCGGGGAACGGCGCGTCGGGCGGCAGCGGGGCCGCCAGGCGGGCGGGGCGGGCGGGAAGGCCCGGGAGGAAGGGAAGGAAGGCTGACGTGTCCCACCGGGGCTGCCGGGCTGCGCATGCGACCCCGCGGCAGCGGCCATGGAGGAGGCGGGAGAAGCGGGCCCGTCCGTGCTGTTCCTGCACCCGGACCTGGGGCTGGGCGGCGCGGAGCGGCTGGTGGTGGACGCGGCGCTGGCGCTGCGGGCGCGGGGCTGCCGGGTGCAGATCTGGACGGCGCACTACGATCCCGGGCGCTGCTTCGCGGAGACGCGCGGGCTGGCGGTGCGGAGGGCGGGCGGCTGGCTCCCGCGCAGCCTGTGCGGCCGCGGGCACGCCCTGTGCGCGGCCCTCCGCATGGCCTTCGTGGCCCTCTACGTGCTGCTGCTCAGCGGAGAGACCTTCGACGCCTTCGTGTGCGACCAGGTGCGGGCACGGGAGCGCCGCTGACGGGATGCGGGGATGCTGGTGCTCTAAACAGTATCACAGAATTGTTAGGGTTGGAAGGGGCCTCTGGTGATCATCTACTCCAAACCCCGTGCCAAAGCAGGGTCACCTGCAGCCGGTGATGCAGGCACGCGTCCAGATGGGTTTGGAGTGTCTCCAGAGAGGGAGACTCCACGACCTCCCTGGACAGCCTTTTCCAGTGTTCTGCCACCCTCATTGTGAGGAAGTTCTTCTTCTTGTGGATGTAGAAGTTCTCGTGTTTTAGTTTATGGCCACTGCTCCTCGTCTTGTCACTGGGCACTACTAAAAAGAGTCTGGCATCATCCTCTTGACACCTTTGAGATATTTATATGAATTAATAAGATCCCCTCCTACTCTTCTCTTACCTAGACTAAACTGGCCCAGTTCTTGCAGTCTCTCATAAGAGGACCCTGGAGTATCAAATCCCTTCAAAGTCGGATTCATTATATGGTGTGCAACAAGCCATACTCCAGAGAGAGACATAGATTGTTCATTTCAGAGCTGTGCAAGCCTGGCTGCCCCATGGTGTTCCACAAATTAAGGACATTCCATCAGGCTTTCTGTGCCATATTTTATACACAGAAATTCAGAGTTAGTTACTTCCCAAATGTGGCCTCCCATAATGTTATGTTTAGTTAGCAATTTCAAGAGAAAGGAAGTGAAGCTGGGGGAGGATCTGGAGCACAACTCTATGAGGAGTGGCTGAGGGAGCTGGGATGTTTAGTTGGGAGTAAATGAGGCTCAGTGGGACCTTTTTGTCCTCTGCAACTGCCTGAAAGGATGTTCTAGCAGGTGGGGATTGGTGTCCCTGACAGCTAATGCTAGAATGAGAGAATATAGTCTTAAACTGCACCAGGGAATACTTAGCTTGGGCATTAGGAAGAATTTCTTCTGAGAGGGTCATTATATGTTGGGCTGCCCAAGGAGGTGATGGAATCACCCTCCCTGGATATATTTAAGGAAAGATTGGATGTGGCCCTTTATGCCATGGTCTGGTTGACACAGTGGTGTTGGGTTATTGTTTGGACTCAGTGATCAATTTTCCAACCTGATTGATTCTGTGATTCCATACAAGTTACATAACCCCAGTTAACTCCTACACTTGCTCAGGGAAATGATCTTCACCTGAGCAGGGGTCTTTGTGACCTGTAGGTGTGTTTTTTAGTGTTATAATGAACATGGTGTAGCTATATGATACATGGACCTTGAGTATTTTGCCGAGTTAGCAATGACAAAGACATAGACAAATCAACTTTTTGTGTGACTACATCCTTTAGGCTTGTTAGTTCCAGCATGTCGCTGACTAAGGGATGCTAGTTGTTGCCAGTTCCACTGATTAGGTCTTCTTTCTTGCTGATTAGGCTTGAAAGTATACAAATACCTTACATCAAAGAGCATCCTGACTTTAGATAATCTTGACCTATTCCACATTTTGAAGTTTACCTCTTACATTTTGGGGCAGCTGGAGGGAGAGGATGCCACCACCGCTTGGACTCTGCTCCCAGCAACCCTGGGAGTGGCAGAAGGAGGTGCTTGGAGAAGTCCTGGGGCTTGTTGGGACCTTGGTGGAGAGCAAGGAGAAATTATAGGGCCACAAGAGGTCCTCAATGAAGCAGTACAACTCAATGTGCTTGTGTAGGGGAGAGGGAGAAGGCACTTGGCTTGCAAAACAGTGGCTCTCAGAGCATGGCTTTGAAATCACATGTACACTCTGGTGACACTGACACAAATAATTAACCTCTCCTCTTGTCCCATCTCTCCGATTGCACTAGGTGTCTGCCTGCATTCCTGTACTTAGACTGGCCAGAACCCGTAAGAAGGTTTTGTTTTACTGTCACTTTCCTGATCAACTCCTGACCAAGAGAGAATCTTTCCTGAAGCGCCTCTACAGATTGCCACTTGACTGGCTGGAAGAGTACACGACTGGCATGGCAGACTGCATCGTCGTGAACAGCAAGTTCACTGCCAGCGTGTTCAAAGACACCTTTAAGTCCCTATCTCACATAAACCCAGATGTCCTCTACCCATCGCTCAACATCAGTAGCTTTGAAGAAATTGTTCCTGCAGACATAGCCGACCTGATACCGAAAAAGAAAAAGTTCTCGTTTCTTTCCATTAATAGGTATGAAAGAAAAAAGAATCTAGCATTGGCTCTCGAAGCTTTGCATGAACTTCGGGGGAGACTTGGTTCTCATGAGTGGGATGAAGTTCACCTGGTTATGGCAGGTGGTTATGATAAGCGAGTTCTGGAAAACGTGGAGCACTATGAAGAGTTGAGGAGACTCGCAGACAAGCTTGGTGTTAATGACCATGTGACTTTTCTGAGATCATTCTCAGATGAACAGAAGATCTCTCTTTTTAGTAACTCTGTATGTGTGCTTTATACACCAAGCAATGAACATTTCGGCATTGTCCCTTTGGAGGCAATGTATATGAGATGTCCAGTTATAGCAGTTAATTCAGGTGGTCCTTTAGAATCAATCTCACATAATGTTGCAGGATTTTTGTGTGATCCTCTGCCAACCCAATTTGCTGATGCCATGGAAAAAATTGTGAGAGATCCTCTCTTAAAAGACACAATGGGAGCAGCTGGGAGAGTGAGAGTTATGGAAAAATTTTCTTCAGAAGCTTTCTCAGAACAGCTGTACCAATACATACGCAGATTAACAGAATAAAATTATATTCCTGTGTTATATTTTACACCATTGTGTCTCTCATTTGTGTGGGGGACCAGTATTCATTGTGACTGAAAAAGAACTAGGGATATCTGAATGTCCTTGTTTTGCTTCTTGTGCTGCCTTATGTCACTTGACACAGAAGGAGCAAAATATGTCCCACTGTGTCATTAGAAGGTTGAAATTTTCATGTGGTAGACTGATCTGCCATTGCAGGAGGTCTTTTGTGTCCTGTGCTTTGGAAAAATGCGAAGTTAAATGGCAGTAACTTACTAGGAAAATTACTGCATGTTTTATTTAATACTGTATGGAATGGCTGATTCAGTTTACAAAATTTGGGTTTGTCCAGATATGACCCACAGAGCCTTATTTTTATGTATTTAAAATGGTCATCAGTAATTTGTAAGTAAAAGGGCTGTCTCAGCTAAAGTATGGAGAGAATTGCACAGTCCAGCCAACTGCATGTTTCAAAAACCCAGCAGTGTTAGGAATATAAATGGTATGGTTTTTCAATGATTGACCTTTTACTGTGCTTTTCCAATTGCATTAGTCACACTGGGTGTCAGAAAAGCATACAGGTGTGTGAGCAGGAGGAAGTGAGACTAGAATAACACCAAGGATATGAGGCAAAAAGGTTAATGCTAAAATCTGTGTTTGTTCGTTACCTGTAATTTCTGGTTTGTAGATACTTAAATGATTTTCCCTATATTTAACATTTCATTCTAAATGACAGCACAGTTCTAAGAAAGGTCTTAACCTAGACCAAGAAATAAAGACATTTTATTTTGCCTAATTTAGTGGTAACTTTATGTTTTCCTGATGCAGTGAGTGCGCATGTGACAGTACTGTGATAGTACTGTGATTTTTTTTCCAAGCTGGTCTGGGGAAAGGAATACATTTTCTGTTCATCTACCCCTCTTTTAGTACATCTTTATTAGTTGATGGTTCTGTTTGGTTATAACACACATTCGGTTATAATTTAATTTTAAGTGTAAAAATAGATCCAGTGGAATCCAGTGTTAGCTATAAAATACAATTTGTAATGTGGTATGAAATACAATTTTTAGTCTGAATTCTGCAATTTCTATTTAAGATAGTTTTGGGCATTTCCACATCAGTACTTCATGACAGAGAGACCATTTTTGTTGCTTAGGACCAAAACCCAGGTCTCAGTATACTTATTAGGCTTTTATTTGAAGTAAAACAAAAAAAATCCACAAAGTTTGTCCTTATCTTTAATCAAGAAGTTGGAAAACTAGTTTTTATTCATTACAGAGTGAGAGCAGATGGTCTCAGAGTCACTATTTCTTACATTTCTGTTCAGTCAGAAAAACTGGCAAGCCTGAGTCCATACTTTTTATAGCCTGTTCCTGCGTTTCTGCTCCTTTCTGACCCTTAAAAGTTTTCCTAAATCTTTGTGCAACTTTTTCATCATAGGTGTGGCAGTGGATGACTAAAGGACCAGAAGAGACAGTGAAAACTATCTGTGGTCAGATAAACACCCTCAAGTCATGTTTGGCCTCAGTTTTAAGTTACATTTAGAAGGTACAAGGTGGTTGGGGCCAATTCCTGTGCTTGCTTAGTCTGTGTTACATTCTCCTCTCTCAGTTGTGCTGGAGTTAACCTGGAGCCTTAAGGGACACACCGGTGCATGCTTGCCAGCGTAGCTGCAGGGGTAGCTCTGTTTCTGCTCCAGCCTTGGCCTCCAGCCCCTTCCTGAGCTGTGTTGCTGGCAGGCATGTGCCTAGTCCTATATCCTGCAGCTTCTGTTCACTGAATTTCCTGGATTCCACTTGGACCTGACCTGCCATCTCACATTTACCTGGTGATCACTGTGACTGTCAACAGCTGCTACTGTCACCAGGCTGCCCTGCTTGGGTACTCTGCCCTGGTCGGTGAGGTCACTGTCCCATGATGTGATCTCCCCTGACTTTTCAGTCATCCCTTGCAGAGCAGCCCCAGCCCTGCTGCTTCATGGCAGGTAGGTTGGACCATGTGGAGCCTGAGGCTGACTGCACAGAGCCTGACCTTCAGGCTCCCCATCGACTGCAGATTAGGCTCAGATTCCTGCAGGGAGCTGTGGTCAATGCATAGAAGTGTGGAAGAGCACTGCATGCTACTTCAAGATCTCTTGCTTTCCATCTTGAGAAACCTCATCTAGTAAGAGTTTTCCCTGCCCACTGAAGGAAGGTTGGACAACATGGTCTTTAAAGGTCCCTTCCAACCCAAACCTTTCTGTGGTTTTATGACCTTCCAGAACCATTCAGTGGGGACTGCACAATTATATTAGGATTTATTCGTTAGGTATGGCTAATCTTTACAGCCTATCCAAGTACCATATATCCCAAGGGACATTAGACCAGCAGTAGTAATATCCCAGAGCAATGTGGATTATGACTGCGTGGAAGACAATGGCCATGTGGTCCAAAACCAGGTGACATAGTTAATATAAACAGTTTTCAGAGGGACTGCAACTGCAGTGGGCAAGAACTGGAGTGCTGGAGCTCCACCAGGAGAAGTAGTTGGCCGATAAATACACAAATCAGTTGACTCCGGAAACTGGGTGTGAAAAGCAAGCCCCTTCAAAGCCTATGTCCGTGTGTGAACCTCAAAATGAGGTGGTTAGGACTGGCTTACCCCTGAGCTTGGGCCCATCTATCAGTTGTGTTCAAGCCAGCACGACTGTTGGTTCTTCTGTTGCCTCAAGACTGCGCTACCATGCCTCAGAGGCAGCTTGGATTGCCAGGTCCTGTTTGTCTCAGATATAAAATCGCTGTTCGTGGGAGTGATCTGTATAAAGAAAAAGACAAGGGGGCATGGCTCCTGCTTTGGACTTGATTATGGGACAGTATAGCCCCTATGGCCCAGAGACATCTGCTTCCATAGTGAAATGCCAGCCAAGACTTCAGCAGAACAGTAAGGCAGGATGTGGTGAAATGACTCTTTCTGTTCCTCAGGAGCTTCATTTGCTTCTTATGCCCATGGCAAGTGAGGTCCTTTCCACGTAGGTACCACTAGAAGAACAATGACACTGGAAAAGCCTGTTTTGAATTACCAAAAGAAGCTGGCAAAAGTTCTAAGAGATTCTGCACTTCCTGCATGCTAGAAGGGAATGAGCAGAAAAGTGCTTTCTGAACTAGATACAGACACTATGAGGATCTTTTAATGTTTGGTCTCTCCTGTGCTCTGACCACCTTCCATGGTTCTACACATAATGTGCTGCACAGTCTGCTTGATAACTGTGTAATGGTATTCTCAGCATCTTCACGTTCTCCAGCACACAACAGGCACACAGGCTATGCCAGGGAGGTCCTGCGTCACTTGCAGCCGTGGTGACTCCATGTCAATCCCCAGAAATCAGCTCTTTTCAGCAGCACAGGCTGGAGTTCCTGGAATACGTGGTGGACCCTGAATACTGGCACGTTGATCCCAGATAGGTTGAAGCCACCTTAAAATGGAAGGCTCCTGTGAAGGGTCAGAAAGCCCCATACTTTTTTTCTGACAAAAAATATGGAGTACTGGCAGTGGAGGTAGAGTGTCAGATCAAGAAATTAAATCTGTGATTGCTCTTAAATATTTTCAGCTTATGCCGTGACTTGTGTTTTTATGCTCTTATGAGCCCTGAGGTCGACTCAGTTGATTAAAGCAGGGTGCTAATAATGCCAAGGTGGGGTGTTTGACCCCTGCATGGGCCATTCTTTTAAGAGTCGGGCTCAACGATCTTTGCGGATCCCTTTCAATTCAGATATTCTGTGATCCTGTGAGGGTGTGTTTCTGTTCTCTTGAGCGTCTCTTCATCTAGTCTCATATTGTCATGGAATCATAGACTGGTTAGGGTTTGAAGAGATATTAAAGATAATCTTGTTCCAACTGCCATGGGCAGAGTCACCCACCACCAAAGCAAAGTTGGTTGCTCAAAACTCCATCCAACCTGGTCTTTTCCTACTGCTGTTTTAAAGACCCATACATGAAAACAAAGCTTTAGATTTACAGAACAAAGAGACTTCTCATTTCAGAAGTGCAGGCACTCAGTTCCTTATTTTATTACAGTGTAGTAGCTTTGTTTCCTCTCTACTTCCTCTCTTCCTTTTTGGAAATCCAACAGGAATCTTGATTATGGACATAGAATCCAGGATGGTTTTGTCACTGACAAGCTTCCTGTCAATTAAATGGAAGTAGCTCCATCGTGAGAGGACAGTAAGTAATCCCATATCTTACAAGTCAGCACGTTCTAGTGTGTGTATCAAGTACATTCTTTTGTGCTGTCTCTAGACCAACACTACAGGAAATGAAGGCTGACCAGTTCTGAGTTTCCAAAAAAGCAGGTTTTTAACAGTAATTTTTGTACCTGTTTTGAACCTGTTCCAGAAATCCTTACTTTTTCCTCTCTTCTCCTTTATTTAAATAATAAAAAAATTATTAGTTTTCTTTAAATCAAATTGCATATGCCTTGTGCAATCTGCTGTCGGAAGAAATATTAAATATTGGACTAGTATTACTAAATAAGTATCATTAGATTACAAGAAAATGGAAGTTTTCAATTCCTATCCCACTAGTGTGGTGTGAAGGGTGATGCAAGAAAAAGAAAATGGCAGCAAGGAGGATTTAATCTCTTCTCTTATTTTCTCACCAAATTTGCATATCCTGCTACCTTCTCTTACACCCCAAATGAATAAGAACAAGCCAAATAAAGTTGTTTAAAGCATAATTGGAAAAATAAGGGCAGAGTATATGCAGAGTATTAGGTGTAAGCAAAGAGGCAAGGAGAGAGGTGATCTGTCTTTAGAGTTTCTTCACTCACCAATACTGTGGGTTTGTTGGCTCTGTCTTTGCACTTTCCTTCTTCAATTTACCTTTAATCTAGTCAATAAGATAGGCCACAAATAAATAATTTAATATGCCTCTTTTTATACACTCAGATTCTAGAAACAAGTCTGAAAATTTTGTGATTAAGCCAACCTGACACTGCTGGGTTTTTTTCTTTCCCCTCCCCCTTTATTCCTATTTTTTTACAATTTTACACAA